ACTTCCAATACTGGGCCCTCCCCTTCGGGCTATCCTCAGTGCTGAGGGTCTTTACGAAAGTTCTGTCAGCTGTAGCAGCCCATCTGCAAGCCAGACCCATCCGGATCATCTGCTACCTGGACGATATCCTGTTGTTGTCCAGGTCATGCACCCAGGCCCTCAGGGATCTCCAGGACACCCTTCAGGTATTAGGGGAAGTGGGGTTCTCCATCAATCGGGAGCCCTCATAGATTCTTCCCAAGGCAAGGTTTTCCTGTCCCAGGAACACCAGAGCAGGGAGTTATCCAAGGAGGTACGAGGGAGATGGTGGGTCCCTCTTCTTCAGCTGTCCCAACTGCTGGGGGAGATGGTCTTCTGCTTCTCCATTGTCTCTTGGGCACGGCTTCACAGCCGCTGTCTCCAGTGGTTTCTTCTGCCATTCCAGAAGACCAATAGCAGCTGTTCCCTAGTGAAGGTCAATCTGACCACAGAGGTCCTGCTATCCCTGGACTGGTGGATCTCCCCGCCCATAGCTCAGGGCTCTCTTTTCAGGGATCCCCCATGCCTCGTAGTGACAACGGACGCGAGCCTGACAGGTTGGGGGGCTCACCTGGAGGATCAGGTAGCTCAGAGGCTTTGGTCTAAATCTGACCTCTCCCACAGTATGAACTGGCTGCAGCTGAGGGCCATCCATCTAGCCCTCCTTCATTTCCAGACCTCTCTTCAGAACAGACATATGCTGATCCGAACAGACAACACTATGGCCAAGGCGCATGTCAACCGCCGGGGGGGACGAGAGCAATGTCTCTCATGGAGTCTGCCTTTCATCTAGGAACTTGGGCGGAGGCCAACTTTCTCTCCCTACACGCTGAACACATCTCAGGCTCAGACAACACTACAGCAGACTGGTTGAGCCGCACAACAATCGACCTTGCGGAGTGGAGCCTGAATTGCCACATATTTCACCAGCTGTCGTCCAGGTACGGGACTCCAATCTGGATCTCTTCGCAACATCATCCAACAACCAGTTGCCAAGGGTACCTGTCTTGATACACGACACCAGGCACAGAAGAGACAGACGGTCTCAGGTGCAGGTGGCCTCGCGGTCTCCTGTACGCCTTCCCTCCCTTCCCCCTAATACAGAGGGTGATTCAGAAAGTGATAGAAGACGCCAAACTCCTAATCACCCCTCATTGGCCGCGCCGGCCATGGTATGCAGACCTGATCAAACTGTTAGTGGAACCTCAGTGGTCCCTACCAATGATCCCATCCCTCCTTCATCAGGGCTCCATTCTCCTCCCCGACCTGCGCTGGCTACGGGCGGTCCTGAGGACGGATAACCTTTCCGAGACTGTAATCCATACTATTCGGGCCTCCCGCTGCCCAGCTGCCAATAGGATATACGAATCTACATGGCAGACTTTCGCAACATGGTGCCTAGGGCGAGGGAAGGATCCATTAAAGACTGCAGTACCCCAGCTTCTAGAATTTTTGCTGCAGGGTCTTGATAAAGGGCTTTCTCCGAATACCTTGCGGCGGCAGGTATTGGCTCTCTCCTCAGTTCTCTCTCACCACCAGGATGAACCCCTCATTGCATCCTCACATCCTTAGATTCCTGAAGGGGGTGTCCAATCTCTGCCCCCGTCACACGCTGGTTCCCCTCCTGGGATCTGCCCAAGGCCCTCAACTTCCTTATGGAGCCACCCTTTGAACCTCTCAGGTCAGCGACTTTGCATTACCTCACTCTCAAAACTGCCTTTCTGGTGGCCATAACATCGGCACGAAGGGTGTCAGAACTGGCGGCTCTTTCCATCCAGGCCGACTTGTGCATCTTCTACCCAGACTGTGTGGTCCTTTGCATCGACCCCACCTTTGTTCCGAAAGTGAATTCAGCATTCCATTGCTCTCTGGATCTCACCCGCCCAAATTTCTGCTCGGCTCCATCTCAGAGTCTGGAGTGCAAATGGCACAAGCTAGATGTCAGGCGTGCTCTTAAGACCTACATCGCCAAGACGGCTGTCTTCAGACGCAGCAAAGCCCTCTTCGTCTCTTTCCACTCTACCAACAAGGGTCTAAAAACCTCTCCTTTCATGATTGGCCGATGGATCAGGTCTGCCATTGCTCAAACTTACATCACGCATCATCTCCCTCCTCCACCCAACATTACGGTTCATTCCACGCGCAGTGGGGCCATGTCAGCAGCGTGGGTGCGGCAGGCCTCACCCTCCTGTAGAGGAGACCTGTAAGGCAGCGACCTGGGCTACCCCTAATTCCTTTATAAGATAGATCAATATGCATCTGCGGATGCTGCTTTCGGACGGCAAGTGCTCCAGCAAGTCCCTCCGTCCTCTAGCTCTTCATTCCCTCCCAGGGACACACCAGCTTTGGTATGTCCCATGCATGACCGCTGTCTCCACCAACTTAAGAGAATGGGGCGTTGGTTCTTACCTGATAACCCCCTTCTCTGGGCAGGTGGAGACAGCGGTCATGCATGGGACATACCAAAGCTGGTGTGTCCCTGGGAGGGAATGAAGAGCTAGAGGACGGAGGGACTTGCTGGAGCACTTGCCGTCCAAAGGCTGCATCAGCCGATGCATACCTATCTACCTTGTAA